ATCAGGTCCAGCTGATGTGGATAATCATAAACTCAAGCTGTACGTTTGCACGGCTGCCCTGTGGGTCCCGTGCCGGGGCAGGCACCAAGGTGCGGTGATAACAGGTGAGAAGGAGGAAGGGAGACAGACGCACTTTGCACCCAAACCCCGTACGCAGCCCCGTGCGTGGCCCCTTCCCTCCCCGCCACGCCGTGGTCGAGGGCTGCTGTGCCGTCCCAGGACCCAGCCCTGCAGCAGGGCTGCACGCGGTGCCAACCACGTCTCCTTGTTGAGGATAGGAGATGCCACCCCCAGGGTCCCGCGCCACTGCTCGGGCAGGTTTTGGTGTGTCCCGAAAAGCCGTGCAAGCCCTGGGGCAGCAGCAGCAGCAGCTCTAAGAGCAGCAGCCAGGAGCTCCCTGCCGCAGGTGGGTACAGCAGCCCACGCCTGGCCACGTACCATCCCCTCCCCGGGCAGCTGCCAGCAGATGCCTTTCCCCAGTATTCATCGTACGGCCAAACGCGACCGCAGATCCCCTGGATCTGTCACCCTGCCAGCCCTGGAGAGGTTGTGAACACTTAGAGCAGCGTGCAGGTCTCGCCCTGTGCCTGTCAGGGCTGGGAGCTCATTCGGAGCAACCACGGGCTCCTCCTCGTGTGAACCCAGGCACCCGGGGTGGTGGGAGGGCAGCGGTTTGGGAGCCTCGTGCTCAGACAACAGGGGAGGAGGACGTGCTCAGGACACCGTGTTCGTCTCCGTCCCCTCCTGCAGAGTCCATGGACTGCAACAGGAGAGCTGGCTTCTACTACGACAAGCTCCTGAAAAAATGCATCAACTGCACCACGGTCTGCGGGCAGCACCCCAAGCAATGCGCCCCGTCCTGCGAAGGTAAGGCCACGCGCAAGGGCAGGCAGAGCGGGGACGTGGGGCAGGACCCCCCAGGGCTGGGCTGGAAGAGGAGCGGGGGGACCAAAGCTAGGGAAGGGGCAGCAACCCACCCCCTCCCCCTTCATCCTGGGGGGTTGTGTGCTTGTGTGCTGCCGTTTTGCTGGGACTGGGGAAAAGAAGAGACCTCTCCCCCGTGTTCTCCATCGTACGACTCCATCACACCCTGCAATTTCCCTTCTGCGTGCTGGTGTTGTACAGACCTGTCCTCCAGCCCTACTGGCCGGGGGCAGGATCGGTGGTCGCATTTCATAGAATCATAGAATCATAGAATCATAGAATGTTTTGGGTTGGAAGGGACCCCTAGAGGTCATCTAATCCAACCCCCCTGCAGTCAGCAGGGATTTCCCACCTTGCTGAGCTGCCTCGGGGACAAGGAGTTGGGGGGGGGGAGGAATGGACACGGGTTATTTTCCCTGAGATCTGCAATTCCCACATTGGGGTTGAGACGTGGTCACTGGAGAAGGGGGAAGGTGGGAATGGGGGGGTGGGGTGGGGCGGGGGGGGGTGT